GATTTGAGGGAGAGTGATTGAATGGATTTGAGAAGATTTGAAGATACATTTTTTATTGTTTATTTGAGTGGATTTGGAAGTAAGTGAGAGTGAATTTGGAATTAAAATTTGTGAGAATTACTGTAAGATTTGATTGATATGACAGATTAAAAAAATTTACTTCCAAATTCACTCTCACTTATCTCAAAATCCACTCAAATAAACAATACAAATTTTACCTTCAAATCCATTCAATCACTCTCCCCCAAGTTCATTCAAGTGAACAAAGTATTAGGAATCAGAGTCATGGATACTCTTGCTTGAGAAAAGCCAGTGGTGGTATCATAACCTTTATTAATATCGTTATTGAACATTATGAGTAGAATGATAATTCTGCATGCGAGGATGAAGTACATTTTTTTATAACATGTTTTGATAGTGTGACTAGGACGATCACAATGAGCAAACACTTTATAACTTCGACCACAACCATAATCCAATTGGAATTTGAGGAAGTTTGAGATCAAATACCAAAACCACCACATTATGTGTCAAAGAGGAAAAATAACCAAGGTATGAGAATCATCAATATGCACACCAAATTGACATTACTATTCGATAAAAAGGAGAAAACATGATCAAGATTTGTTAACGAATACATCATCATAATTTGAGAATGAACAACTGAGTATTGTTCATTAAGTCTTTTAAGAAAATGAAGGACATAATCGTCATCACCGTAACAATGTATAGTAGGAAAAAGATTGCAAAAAAAATTGATTTTGAAATAACATGAAGGTAGGATCAAAGTTGGTCTAATTCATGTAAAAAGAGTTTGTAATTAAGTGAAATAAGCATTGATACTGATAGGACCTTGGAAAAGAGAGTATATCTCTTATTGGATATTAGAGATACGAAAAACATCTCCTCGATAGTAACCTTTTTCCAAAGTACTCCATATCTTAACAATGGTTTCCATTCAACAAACACTTGGAGCAATATTAACATCAAAAGAGTGAACGAGCCATAACATTACAGTGGAATTACAACGATCCCAATGGCTAAACATGACGAAGCCAGGATATGGACGATAATGAGAACCCAATAAGGACCATTTTGATCACCCACTAATATGCTCAAATTTGGAATGATTTCATTTGAAATGTCATCTTTGCCCTCCATACATTGTAAAATACCACATAGAAATGAAAGTATTTGATTCCAAAGTTTGTATAATCGATTCCAACGCATGGTTAATAATAAATAAAGCATACACAGTTTGAGATTCATGGGTGCATTGTTTTTGTAAAGCTATGTGATTTTTTGCAGGTGAGAGATATGTTGGTTGGAGATTATGACCCAGAATGGAGGCTGGTTTATGGTGATTCGAGGTTGATGACTACTGCCATGTTAAAGATGAAGATGAAGAAGATGAAGAACAGAGATTGAAGAAGAAGTTCAAGAAGAGTTGTATTCAGTTATTGAGGGTGTTGTATTCAGTTCTCATTTTGAGTATTCGCTTCCAGTGGAGAGAACAAATGCAAGTGATGCTTGTATTTGGTTCCCGCAAGCTTGTATTCGGTTTGACTTCACCCCTCGTCACTTGTATTTGGTTCCCATGGTGATTTATTCGGTTCCACAAGCCTACACACCTTTCCTTCGTGCACTGATGTGTTTCCAAGCTTGGTGGTGTGCGTTGTGAGTCGTGATGAAGGTCTACAAGATGCAGAGGTCCATGAACATGTCCATGCAATAGTCTTAGAGTGCATCAAGAAATGGGAGTCCAAGGAGTTCCTTTTAATGGCAGCATCCCTAACCCTTTCTTTGTGTTGCAGGTTTTACGAAGGAGAAGGTGACTTTGGTCATACTTGAAGCTGGTGGAGGTGCTGTGAGGGAATACTACGTTGTGAAGGTGGTGGACCTTCATCATATGACCATGAAGGTGTTTGGTGGTCATGGAACCCTTGTTAACAAGTGTTTATACTATTGCAGGTTAAGGAGATATGTAGTGGAGTCTCACTTGAAGCATATTTTATCACATGGTTTCTCCCATGCTAACCTTGAGCATAGTGTTCTTGTTCTTAGAATTGTTAAGTTGTCTCTCATGACTTATCTTTTTAGAATGAGGGAGAGGAGATATGAAGGATGTGTTTGGATGGGTATGACATATACCCCTATGAAAATGGAGAAAAATGTGTTTGAGTGTGATTATTTGTACAATTCATTTATTCTTACCCACTATTCCTCTCAAGTGGAGAGAAATTTCTTCATTTCCTTCTTATTTCTATTCTTGAAAACAATTTTTTACTTTATTTCTATTTTACTTCCATCGTATATTATTTTGCATGTATTTTACTTCTAATGCAAATAGAAGATTAATGATTTGTTTAGATTTTAAAAAATATATTCAAAAAATATTATATTTTAAAAATAATTATATTAAAAAACTATTATATTTTAAAACTAATAAATTCAAAAAATATTATATTTTCCACTTGGCACTAAATCATATTCAAAAAATATTATATTTTAAAAGTAATTATTTCAATTTACTAAATTACCTTTTTTTTACATTTAAAATTTTTTTTTCTCTTTATAAATATTTTTACAATTAAATATAACATTAACAAATGTTATTTTATATTATTTTTATAAGGGTTAAATATGTTTTTAGTCCCTAAACTATTGACCGTTTCTGGTTTTCGTCCCTCTTCCAAAGTAAGGTACAATTTAGTCCTCAATCTTTAAAAAACGTTCGTTTTAGTCGAAAAAACGAACGTTTTGAGGACTAAAACGAGGACTAAAAACAAAATTTTGAGGACTAAAACGAACGTTTTTCTAAAGAATGAGGACCAAATTGTACCTTACTTTGGAAGAGGGACGAAAACCAGAAACGGCCAATAGTTTAGGGACTAAAAACATATTTAACCCTTTTTATAATTAGGGGTATTTTGATAATCTTCAATTTATACTAATTAAACAATTTTTTTTGTGTCACATCGGTTAAATCCTATACTAATTTTCACAAGCTTTACTTCCAAATCCACTCTCACTCACTTCCAAATCCACTAATAAACAACAATCATTTCACTCTCAAATTTCTTTAATCCATCTAGCCACTCTCTTCCAAATCAATCATCTAAAGTGAACAAAATGCTTTAATAAACTAAACTATTTTTTATGCAATGCAAATGACCTAAACAAATTCCTATATGACTAACTATGCAAAATGAATAAATAAATCAAACCAATAACTTAAAAATAGAAAAATTACTTGTTGAACCAAGTTTGAGTGCAAAGCTAGTCAAACTGGTTTTGACAGCAAATGTATTTCTATATAATTTTGGGTTTTGATGCAATGTTATGTATTAATGGATGATTTTCTCATCTAGACAAGTTTAATATGATGCTAATAAAATGATAAAACAAAGAATTGATCAAAATATGAAGACTGTAAGAAATGTCTAATTCTCAAAGTGTTTGAAACCTTAATCCTATGCAATGGTCAAAATCTACAAAATTCATATAAAAAGAGGTAGTTGTTGATACCAACATGAATAAAAACACTAAACCTGTTAAGTTGATTTAATCAATGCTGAAATCACAAAAACGCATAATCAATGTTGAAAACAAGTCAAAAGCAAGTGATGAAAATTTTAACTATATTACCTAACTTTGAAGAAATTAAGGATTTTGCATTCTAAACCAAAAACTAATTATTGGAACATGTTAAAGATCATGGAAAAAAATTAAAAATAGTAAGAAATAACAAAAGCAGATATTTGAACTCAAAATCACGATGTGGGTTGCAAGATGAAAAAATGAATTTTTGAAGATAAAACCAACAACTTGATTCTTGATAACTACTTTTCAGCTTTTGATATCAATCACTTCATTGAAAAACATTGGATTATCAAGTGACATTGCACTACTTTGATATTGATCTTGAATTCAGAAATCAAATCAAGAAAATGATAAAAGTTGGAAAATTAATGATCAAACATCCCTTAATTGATTTTGACAGCAAGAACATAAAATGAGTTTGAGAAGCATGAAATTGAAACTTAACTTGCAAGAACTTAAAAAAGAAAGATGTAAAATTGCTTGAAATTTAAATGGCAATCAAGAAATGAATTCAAGAACAGTAAATCAAAGCACTAACAATGAAGGGAAATAGAAATTTACATTAAAACTGGAAAATGAAAGAAAAGGTTTAGAGTATTAGCTTGGAAGATTCTAACAACATTGTGGCCTTGATCTCCAACTAAAATTTGGAAATGTTTCTTTATGTCTCGATATTTCACATGCACACATGTTCTAGCCTATTTATCTTTACGATTAGTTGTACAATATAATACTGACTTTTTTTGAACATTAGAGGAAACAAGATTATAATGTGTTACTTGATTTGAATATATCTTTCAGTGTTCTGACTCTTTTATTGTATCCTAATGAGTATTAACTAGTTCTTTCTATATTTATTTTGTAGAAACTATGTTTTCAACTCTAATGACATCTTCATCTAAATTAGCATATAGTAATATATGTTTGACTTTTACATTTTTAATAATTTGTAGCTTTGACTTTCATTTCTAGAAAAGCAATCTTCTATTATCATCAAGAATTCCTTTTTCAATGACTTTAGATAAACCTTATGCTTCATAAGTGAACATTTTTTNATATTCTAATTTATGGTTTTATTAATAATAAGATAAAAAACACGTATATTTCATTATTAAAATATACAAGTTTTCTCACGATTCAGTGTCTATAGTTTATCAAATTTATCGACATTGTGATTTAAATAATAACCTAGTGAAAACATAGATATTATAGCTTCTGTTTCTAGGCATTTTGTTTTTAGTTTTAAAAAATAATATAAACTATTATTAAATATTGCAATTAAAAAGTTATAAAAGTGTATATATATATATATATATATAAGATATATATAAATTTTTGACGTGAAATCCTAATCCCAACGAGTTTAGAAAACAAAGTATATAAGAGGAAAACGCGGAACGCGAAACCTAACTAACACTCAAGAAATGGCGGAGAAGTTTGGAGTAGCAGCAGTAGCAGAAGAGAGCTCTAACTCCAGGGTTCCACACCATACGACAGCGAAGCTCGTCGTTTTGGCCGACCTCAACGTTGATCCTCCCGAAGCCGACGACGACGACTCTTCCCTTGTACCTCCTCCATCGATTGCAACGTAATACTCTCTTCCTCATTCTGGCATAATTTCAATTTTCCCTTTTCATCTTTTGATTTATGATTTTCTGCCTTGGAGAACCAATTGAAATCTCTAATTTAGAAACTTACCAAACCCTTAGAGGTCATAGCCAGAAGAACATTAATTTTTTAAACTCTGCGTAAATTTAAATGTTGTGAGACTTTTGGAAATATAGTCAGTCTTCATCTTTTTATGGCTGTATTGAAAGCATTGCAAATTGCAATGGCTGTTTGTTTCGGGTGGGTTGTTTTGGGTGTAGGCTGAAAGAGCAGGAAGATGGAGAAAGGGTGTTAATTTTGTTGAAGGTAGTGGCTTCCGTAACAGACTGTGGTGGGTTACAGGATGTATTGTAGGGGAAATTTATAAGGATGAATACGGTTATATTTTATATTTTTGGGAGGACTAAAATGTGGTGACTTTTTAGCTCTTTGAGTGATTAAATTTTAGTTTTTTATTAAAAAAACTAACATAGTGACATGTGTAACATGGATAACCAACTTCAGGTTGAGGGATTACTGAAAGAATAAAGTGTAAAAGGAAAATACTACAGGTTTAGGTATCAAAAGTGGAAATATTTTTTATTGGAATGTATAAGCCTGCATTTCATTGTGATTTTCCATGCAATTTCAATTTTAGAACTTCCTACTTATTGATTCCTTAACTAGTGTCCTAAAGGTATTAGTTAGTAGCACCCAATATAAAATATATAAGTACTTCTTTGCGCTGTGTTATAATATGACATTATTCATCGTGATTTTTTCTGCATTTTTCCGTTTTGTTATGTAGAAGATATGTTTTCTTGCTTATGACTCGTTTAATGGTCACCAATATTCTCTAAAATGTCGTTTTGATGGTAGGACCTATTACTGTCTGAGACAGTATCTGTTTGTTGCTTCTTGTCATTTATATTTTTTAATGAATATATAGTTTGGCGAATGATGAAAGTGGTCAAGATAAGAGTTTGTTGTCCAAAGACACTGATAGCATTGAAGGTGAAAGTAAAAAGTTGAACAAACTGGGCAGATGTCGTTCCAGACTTAGCAAGACAGAGTCTTCTCTTGATTGTGGAGCTGATGCAGATGGTGATCAACATGTTCAAGGACCTCCTTCATCTCGGGAGGAAAAAGTTAGCAGTGTGAAGACTGTAAGTTTACTCTAATGTTGTTAGATATTTTCCTCATTTATTAAAAACATCCTACTTTTAAACTCTAGTAAGTTTGTGTGTCCTTGAGAATACACACACACACAGAGTGAGGATATGTGAAGGTGAGAACTCTTGATTATTTTGAGAAATGAGAACTATACAATCATACATGAAATGTCAAGATTGAAAGTTAGTTGGTGGTCGCATGAGTACTTAAAAAATCATGTCTGTTTTTTCTTTTAATCTAGACCACTAAGATGTAATCTAATGGTTTATATTCATTGTTCTAATTTATTTTTAAAAGTGACAAGTTTTCTCAGAATCAAAATGTCTATTTTTTTTTTATTTGTTGAATTATTTAGGAAGTTGATACATGGGCAATCAGATATAAATTTCAACTGTTATTTCCAGTAAAATATGACCAGAGATTAATCATGCCAAGTCATGGTGATGGAAATAGTTTTTAACATGTTTTTCTTTATTAGATAAAATATTTCTAGCCATCCTATTGAGATGTGGTGTATATGGGATACCAGTTGAAGATGGAGACATTTTCTTGTTCCTATGTTGCCATTTAGAAAAAAAAAATCTCAATGTTTTCTTCTCAAGTTTTGAACGTGTTGCAGCTGTTATGAATTTTTACTGAGCCTAAAATGTTGTATTTATTGGGACAAGGTGACTTGGTGATAGACCAATATTCAAACATTATTCTTTTTTCTCTGTACTTCCTTTTTATGTGTAGAATGGCAGCATAATTTCAATATAACTCAATTGGTTATTTGTTGTTTTGCTTATATGTAACGTATTATAATGGGTTTTGTTTGATATGGATCTATGGCTGTGAATCAAGTCTAGTGCCAGCTGTTCACTCAACCGGTAGCTTACTATGATTGATTTTATTTTGTTTTCTTAGAAACTAATCACTGCATTTCCATATTCAGTTGCTTATTTAACAAAGTGGGACATTGTAAAGCCAAGACTGCAATTTTAACAATAATAATTTGTTTTCATGCCACTGCAATTTTTGCCATTGTTGTTATTATTGCTATTGTTGTTGTTTTTGTTCTATTACCAACAAAATAAGTTTATGTTTAGGGCTTGGTTCATGTTGCAAAGAAGATGCCCAAAAATGCTCATGCTCATTTTATACTTGGCCTAATGTACCAAAGATTAAGCCAGCCTCAAAAGGTACTAAGCAGTGCTTTCAATTGTACTTGTTACTATTGATGCGGATAACTTACTCGATGTCTATCAAAAAAATTTTAGGCTGTGTTGGCTTATGAGAAGGCAGAACAGATCTTGCTCAGGCCTGAGGCTGAGATTGATAGGCCAGAGTTGCTTTCGTTAGTTCAGATTCACCATGCACAGGTGCAATGGTCATAATTTGATGGATTAATGATTCTAATATCTCTGTTCATTAACATATTTTATAATCCTTTTAGTGCCTGTTACTAGAAAGTTCATCAGAAAATAGTTCTGATAAAGAACTTGAGCCTCATGAACTTGAGGAGATTCTGTCTAAGCTGAAAGAGTCAGTGCAGTCAGATGTTAGACAGACAGCTGTATGGAACACACTGGGTTTTATCCTTCTTAAAACTGGTCGCGTGCAGGTACAAATACTTGGTTGCTCGTCTTCTTTTTACTTTAATGTTCTAGAGGCATATGTGATGCTTTTGTGTCAATATTTGATGTGACTTTGCTTTGACCAATGTGACTTCCAATGCTGGTGTAGAGTGCTATCTCAGTTTTGTCATCATTGTTGTCCATTGCACCAGAGAACTATGATTGCCTAGGAAATCTTGGGATAGCTTATCTTCAAATGTAAGTATGAGTGGTAATTGTCTTGCATATTATTATTTTTTCTTTTCAACAAAAAGAGTGCCTTTTAACAAATTCTTAATCCATCCTTGAACAATATGTACAGGTTTCATTTATCTCTTTTGCTTTCTGAATAATATTTAGCACTGTGGATTGTTAATTAAGAAATTTGCTGAGGAAACAATGACAAGTTTCGAAAAGAACATAGAGATTTATGCATCAAATTGTCTTATGAACACTTACAGAAATGTCAATTATAATGGAAATATATTTTAAAAATTATAGATTTGCCAGGAAATTCGGAATTGAGACTTGCTGTTAGGAAACTTGAGTCCCACATATGGGATTGTATAGGCTAACTTTTGTGCTGTCATGGTGTAGTTGTCCAAGGCTTTATCAATTTGTATTATAGTTTTCCATTAGTTGTAAAGGAGTGACACTGTTGGTGATGTCAGCATTTTCGTGTTGTCTAGGACTAGTTGAAGAGCTACTGAGCAGTTAGCCTGTGTGGGATGTTAGAATCTAATTCTAGGTTAAGAGATTTGATTCTCACATTGGAAGTATGGGATTCTAATATCGTGTTTGTTTATAAGGCCTTGGGCTCTGACTACAAGTGCTACCTTTTGTGGTGTGACTGTCCCTACGTTCTTATCACTTCTAGGATGGACAGTTACAATACGGGATATGGACACAGGAATACATTGACTCGGGAATATATCATAGGAGCCAATATTCTCTCCAAAACCACTATATTGAGATAACGGTTGTATTGATCCTTAAGTAGATTTATATTGCACTATGTGTGTGTGCCCTTAAAAATTAAGGGAAAATGCCTATAATTAAAATCATATTCTGATTAAGTTTCATGACCTAGTGGTCCAAAAGAAAGCCGCTAAACAACATATCAACATGTCCAAAATAGGAAATCTGCAAGAAGAGGTTGGCTGAACGAGATGGGTGGCAGAGGTTGATTGGCCAGATGAAGCCATTTCAGCTGAACAGAAAAGAAAGAAGATGTGCAGTTTGTCAGAAGTTGCCATGCCACTGGAAGTGTGCACAGAAACCTCATTGGAAATGCTTCTTGAAATAGAGAGGCGGAAGGGCTGATTTGCAAAAGAGGGGAGTAAAAATAGTGGGTTATAGGTTAAAATAGAAAGTTACTCATTCATCCTTAATGCAAAAAAGAAAAAAAAAAAAGAAAACACCTAAACAACCCCATTTCCCAGCCAGGAGTTTAGTTCTTTAGGTAAAACCTAAATGATCTGTTGCAATTTTACATGCTCAACGCTGCACAACAGCCGCTACCTTGAGGTGTGATGCTAATGCCCCATTGACTATAATTAGGAATACAACAAATATTCAAATTTTTAGGATATGATGCAAATATAATTAATATTAGTTATTTTAAATTAAAATCAAATAAAATTTTAAATTCACAATAGAGAATTGATGATTTAAAAATGAGCACATACCATTACAAATGTAATGTAATACAAAAAGTTATATTGTTGTGGTATTCTAATCTTTATTAGTATACAAGTTCTTAAACTATATATGAAATGCAATTAAAAATATTTGAAGTGTCCATGCAGTATCCAACATGGATACATATTTGACATGGTTAAGACCCGACAGCTACAATTTAGAGGTGTCTGTACTTCTTAGCTTGTACATTTAAGCAATTGTGGCTGTCACTTTTATGATACGAAATTTATGCTTCCTTTTCTGGGTTAGTACTCTCTGGAATATTGCATTAAATTATTTGGGAAATACTAGTCCTTTTGGGGCTTTAATTAAAGGGTTGATATGAATTTTTATTCTGTTTATATTTTTCCTCACTAGTCAATACTCCAACGTTTATCTTGCCTTGCAGTGGGAATTTGGAATTATCTGCAAAATGTTTCCAGCAATTGATTTTAAAAGATCAAAATCATCCTGCAGCTTTGGTCAACTATGCTGCCCTTCTCTTGGGTAAATATGCTTCAGTTGTGGCAGGTACTTTTATTTTTCTGGCTCTAAGATCTCAATTTTTGTGGGATATTACCTTTCTTTCTCCTTTATTCTTAATAGATGCCGAATTTTTCATAGTATGTTCTTTTAATGCCAGGTCCGGGTGCAAGTGCCTCTGAAGGTGCCATGGCTGATCAGATCATGGCTGCAAAAGTTGCCAAGGAATGTTTGTTGGCTGCAATTAAAGCAGATAGCAAATCAGCCCATCTATGGGCAAATCTTGCCTATGCATTTTCTATTAGTGGTGATCATCGAAGTTCCAGCAAGTGCTTGGAGAAGGTGCTCATGGCTCCTTGCTACAGTCATTTATAGCGTATTTATTGAGGTTGTTTATTGGTTTCCTGGTTCTTGTTATTGGTGGAAATTTTTTCTCGATCCTTTTATATGTATATTTTTCATAATTAAAATGAGAGGAATTACTCTCAAGTATTAGGTGTGTATGTATTGCATAGTGTTAGTTGCACTTTTGAAGTTTCCACCTCACCAAATGAAAATCAGCCTGTGGAAATTCTGTGATCAGCATTCACATTTGCTAAATTTTTCCTTTTGTCGCCATTTCTTCGTAGGCTGCCAAACTGGAGCCCAATTGCATGTCTACTCGATATGCTGTTGCTATCCATCGAATAAAGGAGGCAGAAAGATCACAAGATCGCAGTGAACTGCTTTCATGTGCTGGAAACGAAATGGCTTCCATAATAAGAGATGGTGATTCATCCCTGGTCGAGATTCCAATAGCATGGGCTGGGCTTGCCATGGTTCACAAGGCTCAGCATGAGATAGTGGCAGCATATGAAAGTGAAAAGCACGGGTTGAGAGAGGTTGAAGAGCGTGCTCTTTGCAGTTTAAAGCAGGTAATGTATTCTTTTGGTTATTATCCTAGAATGACCTAGCTTTTATCTTGATAATCCACGTGCTAATTGAGGTTTTATCAGCATATTGTATTGTTTACAATGCGTGAGTCTTTCATCTGGAGCTAAAATGTCGCAATCCAATGTATTTGGTGTTTCTATGATGATGGATATAGTTTGTTATATGTTTGGCATGCCATACTTTTGCCACCAGGCTATAGCAGAAGATCCAAATGATGCGGTGCAGTGGCATCAACTCGGCGTTCATAGTCTCTGTGCTCGGCAATTCAAAACATCACAAAAGTACTTCAAAGCTGCTGTTGCCTGTGACAGGGATTGCAGCTATGCGTGGTCTAACCTAGGTATGTTCTATCTGTTGTACTAGGAATGTGCATGTTCTCATCATCTACTTTAATCCCTTTTTCGGAAGAGTTTTTTGATAATACAGTTTTTTGATAATATAGGTGTCTCACTTCAACTATCAGAGGAACCATCACAAGCTGAAGAAGTATACAAGAAAGCATTGTCTTTGGCAACAACTGAACAAGCGCATGCTATATTATCCAATTTGGGAATTCTGTACCGCCATCAGAAACAATATCAACGTGCGAAGGCCATGTTTACGAAGTCACTTGAACTTCAGTCTGGGTATGCTCCTGCATTCAACAATCTGGGTCTTGTGTTTGTTGCTGAGGGTCTTTTGGAAGAAGCCAAGTATTGTTTCAACAAAGCTCTCCAATCAGATCCACTGCTAGATGCAGCTAAATCTAATATGATTAAGGCGGTTGTCATGTCAAAGTTATGCAAAGGCCTCACCTCATGCGCTCTTAAAGAGTGATATTGTCTCCCTCAAGCATTTATTAAAATGGATAAAAGAGAAATGTACTTGTATCATTAGTGCTTTCAGAATAGCAATTGAGTAAATAGTTTCATTTTCTTCTAGCTATATATATGATTATGATGGCCACTAAGAAATAAAAGTAAAAGGACTAAATAAATACCATAAACTTGTAGCAGGTAAAAATATTTCGTACACCAGTCTGTGTTATCAAAATTGGAATACAATAAAAATATCATTAAAGAAACAAAGCAAGCAAAAGAAAGTGGCATGACCAAACCAAATCCAATAAAACTTGAGAAAATCTATAATATATTGTTTGATAGTCCAAAATAATATATATTAAAACTTACAAAAGATGGGATATCAGAAATTCAATGTACCATAAGTTATAACTATTTCATACTCAATAGGTGAAACTAAAATATGTTTGATAAAGCTAAATACAATTTTCAGCCTGTTTCTTTAACTCGAGGAATCAAGGATGTATAAAAATGCTTTAATCACAAATAAATTATCACATTCCAACCGAAAAGCATCCAGGCTGTTATAAGAAACTTCAATAACCAAAATATAATCCATAATTTCAGCATGAACAACATCTTTTAACACTAAGTCGAGCAGCAAAGCATTAGCAAAAATTATTTCTAAAAACAACAGTGTTTGAGAAGTCACTGTTTTAGTTTGTTTCTGTGGACAAAAAACACACTTTCCTTAAGAAAAAGAGTATTGTTCCACGTGGCGAGTGTTGAGAAGGCTGAACCTAATCGAAACCTGTGTTGGACGTTGGAAGTTGGAAGCAAAGAAGCAGATAATAAGCTGAAAAAAAAAGAGAGTAGAAGGTGTGTGATCAATGGCAGCTGCAAGTAGCATCATCTCCATCTCCTCTGCGTCACTCTTCACTCCAACAACACCTCAACCAAAAACCCATTGCCTCCTCAAACACACCAAGGACAATGATCATCTTCCAACGTCATCCTTCACTACTCTTTTTTCTCTTAGGATATCAAAACCAACATCAACCTTTGGAGTCACTTCAACCACAAGGGTCAATATTCCTCCTCGTAGGTTGAGTTGTTCGGCCTCTGCATCTTCCTCTTCCACTCTTCCCTCGGCTCTTCTATTTGACTGTGATGGAGTCCTTGTAGATACTGAGAAAGATGGTCACCGCATTTCTTTCAACCAAACCTTCCAAGAGGTACACATACAAACACTTATTGGTTCACTTTTTTCTTTAACAAATGTCTTATTGCTTTGTCTCCGCTTTTATCATGCAGAGAAATCTGGGAGTTACATGGGATGTGGACTTGTATGGAGAATTGCTCAAAATTGGAGGTGGAAAAGAAAGGTTTGGTATAGTTAAAACCTTAAACATCTCTAGATTAAAAAAATTTGAATTCATCATATGAATGAATTTCAAGTCATAATCGATGTGCATTTTTTTCTCTTTTTTACCAGGATGACAGCATACTTTAACAAGACAGGTTGGCCTGCGAATGCCCCAGCAGGTGAACAAGAAAGAAAAGAATTCGTTGCTTCTCTTCACAAACAAAAGACTGAACTATTCATGGTTCTTATTGAGAAAAAACTGTTGCCTCTTCGTCCAGGTGTTGCAAAGTTGGTTACTATCTGTTCTTTATCTTTTATCCAAATTCTTTATAGAGTGGCTTTTGTTTAAAGTTTAAAATAAAACCATTCCTTACCCGCCATCTAATTCTTGTTTTACCACTGGATTGATTTGTTTCATGATTTGATTTTGCTTCCTCTATTCTTCATAATTAAAGTTTAGAACAGCATAATTTTATTCGAACTTGAAATTCAAGAGAGATCAAATTACCAATTACATAATCGATTTAGAACATGCAAAGCATTCCATATCTTGAGTTCTTGATCTTGTTTCTTCCTAAACTTTTATCCAATATTTTCTCTGCTATCATTCAATTTCTATCTAACATTCATGGTTTTTATGTATGTGTGTCAAAATTAAAAAAAACTGTATTATTATCATCATAGAAAGATAAATCGTGCCTTGTCTTATTGCATGTCTCCCTTTTTATCAAACATATAGGATTATCGATCAGGCTTTTGCTCAAGGAGTCCAAGTTGCAGTTTGCAGCACTTCCAATGAAAAGGCGGTATGCATAATCAATTTGCTATTCAATTCCTTGAATCCAATCCGTGTAATTTGAGTTGTTAATAGGCCAACTTTCAAATCGTTATTACTTGTTAAAGTAATTATCAATGAATGAATCATATTCCACTGCTGTTTCATCTTCAGACCTAAGTTGTGAGTTGATTTTAGGTCTCTGCAATAGTATCATTCTTGCTGGGACCTGAGAGAGCAGAAAAAATCAAGATATTTGCAGGAGATGTGGTTCCCCGAAAAAAGCCTGATCCAGTAAGAATTTCATCCTCCTGATGTTAACAGGGACACATTCAATAGAAATCAACTAAAAAATGAAACTCAATTATTGCAAGTCCTTTATGCTCAAGTATGAAGTTTAATGATCTGAAATCTTCAGTGATTCTATCATACAAAGTTCTGTTGTGGTATAGCTACCTAGTAGTGTGTTCAAATTGAGTTAGGACTCAATGATCTAGGCATCTAATTGCATCATGTTCTTTCTGACAGGCCATCTATCTGTTAGCAGCCAGCACACTGGGTGTTGAACCTTCAAGGTATATTTCACTATGCTAATGCCTAGGTGATGATAACTTGTGCTAAAACTATTATTCAAATAAGAAGCCATGAACTTCTACAGTTGATGGTTATGCTTTGACTCAAAAGGTGTATTTTATGATGGCTTAACTCAGGTGTCTTACATTTTTTTATTCACTGGCATGTCACATTTGAATGTGAAATATCGATATTTGTTCTCTGCAGATGTGTTGTGGTGGAGGACAGTGCCATAGGCCTAGCAGCTGCTAAAGCAGCTGGAATGACATGTATAGTAACAAAGAGCGGGTATGTTTCTACTTATTAGATGGGATGCAGCTTTTTGTTTTCTAAATTTTTAATTGAAATTAAAGTGCTGATAAAGACATTGCAACTCTACTAAAATCATACTACTAACAGACAATTTTGTTGACATAGAAAACCAATATATACTATCAAAAACATCACATGTCAGTAACTGAAGCTATCCAAATACTTATATTTTTTTGTCTATTGGTAAATGACATTCTTTTGTAAGGATGCCATGAAAATGTTTAACTCACCTAACAATATTTAATCATGTTTGAAAACAATGTAAAATACTTGGGCACATAATTCGAAAGTTATCTAAGCTGATCAGACTGTTCTGAGAATTGCATCAAGCTTCATTGTGATGTAAAGGTTGCACAGTGATGTAACAGCTCTTAATGCCATCTTGTTATTCACCAAAAAGTGTAAAGTGGACTCAGTCTTCATTATTGAAGTGAGAAAAAGTTACTGAGAAAGTAAATGAATCCGACTGATTGATGCTATATCTGGCAACACTGCTAAATGCTTTCATACACAGCATAAACATTAACAATAAGGCAGTTCTCTGAATTTGGATTGGGTTTAAATGCATCAAGATTCAGTGGAAAGGTTGTCTCAGCTTGCTTTTCTCCTCCACAGTGATTAATATCTCTGCCTAACACGACTAGACAGCATTTATTTTTTTAACTGATTAGGTCGAGTGTATTTTCAGTAGAATTTCCAGCAAACCTTAGGAACTTCCCCAGGTTTCTTTTCTTGAATGTTATAGTTGGACATCTTGAGAATTTAAGTGCATCGTGCATCAAGTAGAGATAAGAAAAGAAAGTTAATTACATTATAAGACTCAAATTTATTATATTAATATTTTGTATTAGAGTTGATATTAATCTTATATGGATTGAACTCATTTTTCTCTGTTGTATTTTTCCAATAAATTGATCTATTAATGATGACAGAACGGGTGATTCCTTTTGATGATAATAGATTGAGTTCATGTCTTGTTAGTGTTGTGTCTATAGTATGAATTGTTGTTGAAATATAACGCAACCTTGGTTAGGGAGTTCTAAACTTTTGAAACCTAATAAACAGATATCCATAATTTTTAAGGTATATGGGAAAGAAAGATAGGAAGAAAAGGAAAGAGAAGAGAGAGTAATACAGGTTACAAGTGATGCCAATATGTGATGGGAAAAAGGAGAGAAATAAGAGATGAAAGAGAACACGGTGTAATTTAATACCTTTCTTTGGCTTCTGATTTCCCTTTTAGATGTTTGTGCAACAACTTTCTTCAATATTCTGAAACTGTTTCATCCAAATGCAGCTACACAGAAGATGAAGATTTCTTAAATGCAGATGCAGTGTTTGATTGCATTGGAGATCCTCCTGAGGAGAGATTTGATTTGGCATTCTGTGGTAGCCTTCTTGAGAAGCAATATGTGAGCTAGTTTAAGTCAAGGATTTTGTTTCATTCACTGTTTCTACTACCATGGGTTCAATAAAGAATCTTCATTTCTTCTTAACCTTAATTTCTTTTCAAGGATGCATCTTTTTCTATCAAATAAATAGAATGAAACACTCTGAAACCTGAAATTAACCTTACAAATATTAAAGCTTCAATTTCTTGTAAACTAAAAAGGCATATTTTGGGAACAGTTGTTAGACTTTGAGACCAAATTTCAATGTCAGCGTGGTTTTCGATTAGGAAATGCGCTCATTTCATTTCACGTAATTATATGATAATAGTACTAAACTACTATAACAATTTCAGGTTTTGTTGAAAATAAATGTGTGTAGAAGGTCACTTAATTATTTCTATTTCTTAAAATAATCTTTTATCTTTTGATCATATTTATATATGATGTGGTATAATAGTTATGATAACAACAACAACAACAAAAAGTCTCTTCTAATTTTAATTTAAAATGTTTTTTATCATAGGATTGCTGTGAAGAATGAGAATAACAATCTAGATAGATTAATATATATGTGTAAAATATTCAAATAAATTGTTTTTTTATTTATTTTGAATTGTGAATCAAATCTTCTAGTTTTAGTAGTGAGAATCTTGTAGTGTTGCAATAACGATGGTGGTGAGGCTTCCACGTCACAGGGTTGAAGCGAAAGGAGGAGGAAAGGAGGA